CACCAAAGAAGGGCAATCCACAACAAGCACTATCAGAAATTACTCTTCCCTTTGTGTCTTGGGTCCCAAGTAAAGGCTCCGACTCTCTGTGGAGACAACCTGTGGAATTGCCACGGACTCTCTTAGTGCCATGTCATCCTCTTCTTCCTTCAGCAGGGTGCAAAGGTCCTGCCATTTCTTCTCGTTGTTTGTGCTGCCATGCAGATCAGCATTATTTATTTATTTAATTTATATGCCGTCCAACCTACCCAAAGGTCTCTGGCCAGCTTATATGTGAGTGAGTGATGTGAGGGTACAACACGGGGGTGGGGGGAGAGGCCTTTTTCCCTGTTGCAGGTGACAGACAAGCTTGGGTCACACTATCTGAATAAAAAGATTTCTGCCTATCAGTGGAAGGACAACAAAGATGAGTCCTTCTAGCCTTGTCTTTCATATGGTTTGAGTGCAAGTCACATAGTGCTTTATTAGTAGTAACATAGTCACACATATTCTCCATAACTGTACTCCTCACAAATGGCTCCTCCTCAGGGGGACACTATGAGATGGGGAGCGAACATTGCAACAGTGAAGCATCACCACCTGATGGATACATGTTGTGAGACTGCAGTGCCATGTCAAGAGCAGCTGCCAGGGCTACTGCCAAGGCAGTGGTGAGACGCCATATTCACAGCTGACAATTGTTCTGAAGATCTTTCTGGAGGCCCCAGGACTGTCTTCTTTGGTTGGGTGATCCCTGAGGTCAAACATCTAAATTAAGGATGAACAACCTCTGGTTGGGAGGTAAGGAACTGCATTGGGCTCGCTAGAATACACTGGGACCTCATCAAAGCTGTGCCATATCTGTAGCAGATGTAGCTACATCTGTATGTGGTCACAGGTGCTCTGGCCTCAGTGATGCATAAGGAAGAAGCATGGTTCAACAAAGCAGGTGGAGAATGTGTGGTTAATTACCACAACTGTTGTAAGAATATTCTTACACTGAGGAGGAGCTGTGCTCTAATCCTGCTTTCATGGAGCAGGCCTGGTGTTCGCCTGCAGAAGCTTACATTAAAGGCAGCTATGCCATCTGCCTAGCCAAAATGGCCCACTCCATAACTTTGAGTCTATGTAGTGGGGCTTCAGGTGCCCAGTTAGGATGAACAGACATTTGTTCTTGTTTAGAGGTATGTTTCATCTTACTTATGTCTTTTTTTTTAAAGAGCTTTTCCACAGATAGGAAGAGACGTGATTAAATATGCTTGGTTACAAGAGAAGAGGTAGACCTGCAAGACCAACAATTCTGAGTGATTTCTTTTTGCCTCTGCAGCACTCTCAAAGAATAGGGTGGCACAAGGTATTTTAATGCTTGAGGCAGAAAATCCAAAATCACCGAAACGTAGCACTATCTAGCCTCCACTTTACCAGCTTATCTGCAAGAATATCATGAGTGTGTGTGGATGTATGGACGCTGAAAGCCTTACTGCAGTCAAGACACACTACATCCACAGCATTCCCTGAGCTCTCAAAATTTAAAAAATAATTAGTCTGACATTACGTATTTCTGAAGAAAACGATGCTAACTTGTAGTAATCACAAAATTCTTTTCTTAGTGTTCAGAGAACAATTGATAATGATCTGTTGTGGAACCTTTCTTGGTGCTGATTCTTCCTTTTTGAAGAGGGAGACAATATTTGCCTTCCTAAAACCTTTAGAGGTTTGTATGTGCAAGCTCCTGTAGTGTTTTAGATGCAATCTCTCCGGCTCTGGAGATTTCAGTTTATTTAAAACAGCTATTTGTCCTGTATTCACCTCTTTGCCAGTCTTGGACAGCAGCCCCTTCACTGCATCACTGATTTCACCAGGTCCACACTGCTTTCCTTTTGGGAGAAAATGGAGACACAGTAGGTATTGAGCTGCTCTGCCTTCTCTCTGTTACCCATTAGCATTTCTCCATCTCTGTCAAGCAGCCAACCTACTGCGTCCTTGTTCTTCTTGTTGTTCTATACATAGCTGAAAACTTATTTTTATTCTTTTTAACGTCTCTTGCAAACCTGAGCTTATTCTGAGCTTCAGCATTCCTCACATTCTCCATACAAATACTAGCTACTTGTCTGTACTCTTCTCCCACTCCAATATATTTGCCCTTCCATTTTTTTAATACATGCCCTTTTAAAACCTCAGCTCATCCTAAGGATCTTTATGCAAATTCCCTGGTTTCTGTAGATGTTTCTTCCTTGTTGGAAATGTTTGCAATTGTGCCTTCAGTGTCTCCTCCTTAAGAAACTCCTATGCATCATGAAATCTTTAAATAATTCTGACCATGGAATCTCATCTAGAAATTACTGAAAGTAGCCTTCATCATGCCCAGAGTACATCTCTGATTACATTTATGTTTCTTTTTCCTCTATATACTAATAATAATGTGCCGTCAAGACAATTCTTGAGCAGATTCATTGAATCTAGATGGACAACGTAAAAGCTGGAAAATAAATAAACCTTGCATTTGTGGCAGAGTTGACTGTCAAAAGATATAAGGGTAGCTGAAGTCTCTCATTACTATTATATTCTCCCTTTGGGTAATGTTTAGTAATCTGATCTATTGCGTTATCAACCAAGTCTTCAGTCTGGCTTGGAGCTTTATTCACCCCACCCACCTCAGTGATTACAAAGTTATTTCTCTCTCCTACAGTTTTTACCCAGATGTTCTTAGCAGATTTTCATGCACCAACACAAATCTCCTCAAAGGTGAACATCCTTTACATATAATGTTGCTCCTCCTCCCTTCCTGTTTAATCTGTTCCTTTTGAATAGGTTATACTCCTCATTTACTACATTCCCATCATGAGTTTTGTCCCACCAGGTTTCAGAAACACCTATTAAATCATGTTGTTGCTTAGTCATTTAGTCGTGTCCGACTCTTCGTGGCCCCATGGACCAGAGCATGCCAGGCCCTCCTGTCTTCCACTGCCTCCCGGAGTTGTGTCAGATTCATGTTGGTTGCTTCAATGACACTCTCCAACCATCTCGTTCTCTGTCGTCCCCTTCACACTTTCCCAACATCTGGGTCTCAACATCAGGGTCTCAACATCACATTACCTTTCTTTATTAAGAGTTCAAGTACAACTATTTTCCTTTCCTCTGTGCATTAACAGGTATAGTGATGTTTGAAACAATGGCTGAAATCTTGTGGCACAGTTATGTAAATGTATAACCTTTAGACATGAATTTCCGTAAGTTAAGAAATCTCTATTGGCATTATAAGTTGCACAAAACACGCAGTGAGCAACATAAAATGTCTACGGAGATTTTACATAAGATAGTTTGCTTCCAAAAGTTATGCCACTGGTGTAACTGTGTAACAGGAGTTCAACCAATAGGTCATTCCACCTAGCAGCTTCATTATTTTTGTGTCCCTTGATGGATCTTCATACCATCACCACCCATGTGTGATTGATTCTATTATCACCAATGCTTGGTGCCCTCCTCTCTTCTGAAATCCTGTCTCGTTTTATGACAGGATGCAGCTTAAAGTCCCCTGGTCAGGTTTGGGAAATGCCTAGCAAACATATACTTCCCATACTTCTTGTGTGATGTAACTCTTCTCTGGCAAGGAATCCTTCTTATGGAAGTCTAAAACAATGGTCTAAAAAGCCAGAACTTGTCCCTTTTCCTGGACTATGAGCTTCAACAGGAAGAAGTAATGAAAACCACCATCTCTGCCCCAAGGTCCCTTGTTTCTTTATCCAGAGCCTCATAATAATTTGCAATATAATAAAGCACCTGTCTGGAAATTTATTCCCACAGAGATTAGAAGGAATTGATCAGTGGCCTTGATGAATGTTGGCAGCCTCTTTGACACATCTTGGATCCTCACACAAGGAAGACACTCCTGAGACTTCCTGTCACGTCTGCATACTCTTGCCTTTGTCTCCTCCACACCTCCCTGGGGCAATTCAGGGGTTTACTCTAGTTGGGACTGTTTATTATTTAGCCCAGAATCATTAACCTGCTGCCCTTTCCTTGCACTCCAAAAACTGTTGCCTGAAACAAACCATGTTATCCTGCCTAACAATAGCTGGTCTTAGGAAAGAAGCTATATTTGGGAAAGAGGTAAAGGAACATTTCACATCCTCTGCTCTGTGACTTCAGTAGGACTGGCTCCTGCTTATTCTCTCACAGGCAAGATGCGCTTGGGCTTCTGTTCCGCTGCCTACCAAAGAGGTCATTTAAGGACAGCCTTTCTCCTCAAACTGTTCCTTTCACTCGAAATCAGGAAAACTATTGAATACTGTAGGTGGTACCTATGGGAGGGGGTAGTCAGGGAAGGCAAAGATATTTGAATCGGGGCACTCATTTGTGAACTTAGCAATCATTCCTAAATGAAGAGCTTTCGCGCTTTCCTTTGGAGACCGAGTAGCTTTTCATTGGTCCACCACGCCAGGCAAAGAACCCGGGGGAGGAGAATGGAGCTTGCCACTGATCAGCCTTAAATCTTACCGAATTGGCTCCCATTCTCCCCAGTCCTCCCATCGCGCCCATCGTGCAACAACAGGTGGCCTTGGAGTGAGCGAAAGAGAAAAGCAAAGTGCCCAAACCTGCCCATCCTGCACCAGGCAGCGAGGTGTCGCGGCTTCTGCCCACGACTAGAGAAGGTGGGGCTCCGGAGGAAGGCAGGGTGAGAGAAGCGGAGCCGTCCGGTCATTTGGGAGCAGCGAGCCTTCGACGGCGCTGACGCAGCCCAGCCGACCCCTGAGAGCCGGGCGGGACAGAGACGGCGCCGCGGCAGAGCCTCACCGCGGGGCACGTCGAGGAGGACGGTCCGGTGTCCGAACCCCGGGAAGCTGGCAGGGAAGGAGTTAACAGGCTGACCCATAAAGCCCATCTCCCGCTCGGCTCGGCTGGAGACGAGAAACGT